AAAAAAAAAACACTCATCTTCATATTCACTGCTAAATGAAAACGTTTCCGATCCATATACGTAAGAAATGACAAGGCTGGGTACAAAAATTAAGGCAGTTAGTAGTGAAACAACACGTGGCGCAGATTGGAGAGAACTGTATAGAGAATCCACCTGCTGATGTTAGGGCACCGTGTTTTGGTCATTTGCAACATCCGTACTCACAAATGATGGCGTTATCGTTGGCTACATGTACTTGCAATTTTGTCTTTACTGGTTGGCCCTTGTGATTACTTCTGTGTTGATCCTGTTTACTGTAAGTGTTCTCATACGATGTATCGGTCCGTATATCGGGCGAAAGTCGATACTCGACTGATACTCATTTGAGACTCGGTCGAGACTCGATTGATATATCGGTCGAAATGTAGGTCGGCCGATATAGCGATTGACTCGACTGCGTGTTTATAAAGACCTCACTTGCCTGGGACAAGATGTCAGGATTTTGTTCATAAGCTTCCTGGTGCTATGAAAAAGGACAGAGATCAATGCTAAATTCAAGTCCTACTAAATACATCTTCTTTGTCTGGTCCCCATGCATTCGTACCTGCTCCCCAACTAGTCGGACAAAAAAAATTTTAAAAAATTAAAGGGAAAACTAAATACAAACCCCTCACGCGTATAGAAGCGATACTCGCTCCTGAACTGCTACCAATGAAAAATCAGAAAGGAAAACTTTAAAGTTCAACTTTAACTAAATTCGAACCCATGCCTTCCTGCCAGATACAGTCTGGGTGCTACACCCGACTGGGCTGCAGAGTCACATGATGGGCGCGATACAATTAAGCTATTTTCGATTTATTAAAATTCTAACATGGCTCTGAGGCTTGAAGGTATACTACTAAAGAAATTGATTATTCATCCATCAACCTCGCTGTTGTTCCTTTGTTTTGCTCCCCCAATCCTGGCAGCCAAGTTTGAATTTTGATATATCGAAAGTGGCCTCTTTCTGTACGTTGTTCGTTCCCGTAAAGGAATCAGATGTTAATGAAATGAAATACATCATGTTGACCTAAACTAGTACTAATTTGACTTCAGGATGAAAACTGAGCATCTTAAAATTACGCTTTCAAACCGATTTTAAACCGTTTTCTCAATCCACTCAATTGGAAATTTCACCACTGCAACACTAATTCGAATTCTTTTGACTGACTTCAACTTCCAGCTTTCACTAACCTGCCTATGTTAAGAATAACAATTCCTTCTAGTGTTGGTAAGTCAATTTTTTTGCCATCAATCTGTAGCGAAACAGAAAATTACAAATGAAAATGCTGAGAAACGAGAGAAAGATAGATCACTGGAACCGTAAGGAGTACAACAGGCAAAAAAGTACCAAGGGATACTCCAAAAACCATCTCATTCGGGCGTTAAATTTTTAAGACAAACGTCTTCAACTACTTGGCGTTCAATCACTCAGTGTTGAATACAACTGACAAACGATGATGATTTTAGGACAACACTCAATATTAAATGAGTTAAGTTTGTAAACAAGACAAACACCTTCCCAGT